CAAATTTTGGTCTATTTATCATTATTACATGAAAAAATATCATTTCTTTAATCTAAATGAAGAATTGATAATATTAGGATGAGATTTCTGTGCGATTTGCCGATTGGGCCGAGTTCATTGTGGACTCTGCCGCAATGGACAGGATAAGACAGTATGATCCAGGCCCATATGATGGCTTAAGAACGAGTCTATTCTTTCTTTTCTTTAAGCCCATTATCTTTGCCACAATTACATGTTGGATTTGGACTTTCCCCTTTTCTTAAGTTTTCCAAAATAAACGACATCGTTTCCAGTCCATCTTCCATATCCGAAATTCCCAATCTTCGTCCCCGTGCTTTCTATTTTCACTCTCTGAGCTGGGTGGTTCTACAATGGCTGCTGCCACCTCCCTCTCCAGTCTACCGTCAACATGCCCTGTGCCCACTCAATCCGGAAACAAATCGAAACCCAATTCGTCTTATCCATCTCTCAAACTCCAGCATCTACAAAGTCCATGGCTTGGCATCAATTTGCGTCTTCGATCTTCAAATCCCAAAGCTGACTTCCAAAATCGCCGTCCGGTCATTTCCACCGTCGTATTTAGCCTCCCGACTGCGTATATTTTCATATAGAACTCTTCATTTTGTTCTAATTTTTTTTTTTTTTAATGTCAATGTACTGAACTTTAATTTAAGTCGTTTTGTGATTTCAGGAACCCGGAGAGGATTGCTTCTGCGGACAAACCTCCGAAGTAAGTTTATCTGATTTTACCTCTTTGGTTGGTATTTGACTGTGAGTGAGTTATGAAATTATGACTGTTGACTGAACTTGAATTGAAATGGTTCAATTCCAATATAGATGGTCGAGAAATGCGATAAAGTCATTTGCCATGTCTGAACTTGAAGCAAGGAAGCTCAGGTACCCAACTACAGGAACTGAGTCCCTTCTCATGGGCATTCTAATTGAGGGTAACCACGTTTCTAGTATCCACTTGGAGCTCTTTCAGTTTTATTTACATAATCATTATTGATGTTTTCTCATTTAATCAATAATTTGTTATTTTTGTGGTTACTGCCATCATGAATGGTTATGTCGTAGCTTCTACCATAGCTAAGAATAATTTCTATCATACTCAGTAGTTTGCCCAAATTAAGTTGAAAAGATGTAATACATGTGGTGTTGGAATGAATGCGAATTACAAAGCTGTGTTCAACAAGAATACAATATTGACTTATTTAGAATGAGAGAGTTCAAGCAACTTGAGCTAGCTTTTATGAGTTTGGCACAACTGAATTGATCACTAGCATGGTTAAGTTTGGCAAACAAATATATAATTGCATTAGTCTCACTATTGGCTTTTAGCTGGTAGTGGTATGGTAGCCACCCTACATTGGCAAGCAACAATTTTTGAGACATTGTCTTTCTCTCAGTTTCTCAATACAATAAGAAATCCTTTTCCTTTGTGGCTTAAAGCAAGATTAGTAACTGAAATCATATTGAAAAAATTTTATCAAAATCATGCTTGTCTGACTGAGTCTTATGTTAGTAATTGTATGTATGACTTCTTTTACCAAAGATGTTGGACCTTTGCTTGCAATAACATAGCATTTCTTATTGTGATCCTCATGATATAACAATAAGGAGGATGTAATGGGAATAAAATAAAAGGTACCAAAACTTCTTATGCTTGGTCTTCCATGTCTGAACATCTCTGTATTAGACCAGCATGTGTGGCTTTACACAGTGTTGGAGAAACTAAGGGTATATTTGTGGCAGTTTTTGAAGGAAAATAAATACAGAAAGGTAATTGATCTTAAATTTGAGTAATGCACACCATATTGCAGGGTTGCATAGTGCATGTGATTAAAATGAAAAATGTGTTTTGTTATGTTGCTGGTCAAGAACTGATCTTGTCTTAGGTATAAAAATATTTGTAAGCCCAGTATGTTTTTGGAAGTTGCGTTATTTATTGCTTTTTTGAAAAGGTATGCACCAGGCTGATTCTCATTTGGTCTGCAGGAACCAGTTTAGCTGCAAAATTTCTCCTTGCAAATGGAACTACACTTTTCAAGTTACGTGAAGAATGTGTCAAGTTACTGGGACGGGGTGAGAGGTCTTTTGTCAGTCCTATGAATCCTCCTCTGACTGAAGACGCTCAAAGGGCCCTTGATTGGGCTGTTGATCAGAAACTAAAATCTGGTATTTCTCCTGTTAATTTGTTGCTTTCTTACCAACTTTGTGATTCTTTATGCATTCATAATTATAAAAAAATTGTGAATTACTAAAATTTAATCTGAAAATTGCAGGTGATGGTAGGGAAATTACAACAATTGATCTCCTCCTCGGCATTTGGTCAGAGGCGGAATCTCCTGGACATAAAATATTGGCTGCTCTTGGCTTCAGTGATGACAAAGCCAAAGAGCTGACATCTTTAAGTTCTGAACCTGGTTTTGTAGATGGGTAATACCTGTCTTTGGTACTTACCTGATATGTAATTCTTTTAACCAGAGAAATGAACATTCTCTGCAGCCTTTGTTATTTCTTGCCTGCATAATGAAGTTTCTGTTGGGCTCGAACAGATATGGTAATTCCCATGTTGAACATGTTTGTGTGATTTCTGCCAATGGGTTT